TCCCAGGGACCGCAGGTAGTGACATCAAGGCAACCCCGACCCCAAACACGGGTCACTACTGCTCCCATGCGGGACTGGTCCAAGCAAAGGACAGGCTGATGGACCAAAATGGCCAGGAGACCCCCACCAAAACCACTACCAGGCTAAGACGAGGGTTTTTTATTCCCTCTTCAGGTGCAGAGCCCAAGAGATAGCTCCCCCAGATAAAAAAATCGCATCAGCTGAAGCCAGGCAGGAGAAGGAGTCAGCCCAGAGTCACCCAAGCGGCTGCTGCCCGAGAGGAACAAGCACACAGAGCAGAAACACCACCACTGCCAAGGGAAAAACAGATGTGAAATGTGCAGGAGCTGGCTCGGACAGCGACCCTTGTCACTAAGGACACGTGACCTCTGTTGAGACAATGACTTGGGCAGGCCTGAGGACCCCCCCAGTGCTCCTGGATGCACAGGTGATCCCCAAAGTGCCTTCCCCAGCCTTGGACCGCAACAGGGCTGTGGAAGTGTAAGTGGACGCAGCGTCAAGGTGCGCAGGCGAGGCAGGCAAAGGCGGGTAAAATGAAGGAGGGGAGAAGAACTGAGAAAGACAGAAGATGAGAATCCTTAGAGATGTCTCATCTGGGAAAGAAAACGGAGCAAGCTGTGAAGACAGCCCCTACGAGGCATTGCTGGGCAAGTTCCCAGTTAGCCAAGTCCTGCCACCTAGAGGGAAAAAAAGCAGGAGAGCCCTCACCACCCCTGCTGATTTGGGAAGACAGTACCCTCATCCAGCTGTAGAGGACCATTTCCCAGCGTGCCTGGCACTCATCTGATTTCCTAGGACGTGGTAGATGGAAGATGACTGGATCCAAGAGAGATCAGCACTGCTCATATCAAAGAAAATACAAGCAAGGACCCCAAGATATGCAGCGTTTACAGCTCCGACACCCCCTGGGACTCGCACCCACTACCGGCACAGTGACACCTGAGCAGGCTTCCCAAGAGGAGCCCAGGAGGCGATAAAGATGACAAAAGTAAGAAACCCACTACATTCACCTTTTTGAGACCACTCTGTCCTCTTTTTTTGGTAGGTGGGTAATCAATACCTGGCGGTGGTTACTGCTCACTTGTGGAAAGCCTGCTGCGCCATCCCTGCTGCTGGAATAAAGCCTGTGTAAAGAAAGAGAGGATCAAACCTGCTCTGAACTTCAGAACTAACAATTCCACCACAATTTTCTCTGCTGCTGCAAAGGGGCTGGTGCTCCATGGGCACCCAGCACCAGGCAAACACAGTACCTCTGGCCCACATCAGCAGGCTGAGGGAAAGGGGAAGGCTCCTGCGGCCGACGTGCAGGGCTGAGACAGCGAATCTCGGCCCCAGCTTTCCTAAGAGCTTTTTGGGTGGCCCCACCAAACTTTTGATGGCTCTACAAGACTGACCTCTTGCAAAGAGGCTGGGAGACTTAATTCTTTAATGATGCTAAAGTATTCCGACATCTGGAGAGAAGAATTATTCAATTACTGCTGTGCCAAGGGAAAACCTCTCTTCCCTAATCTAGGCTGCAGCTATGGAGCAAGCTTTAGCAGTGCATGCACGCTGCGTGATAACACAAGGAAGTATCTACAGCAGAGCGCAGGCAGCAGCAACTGTGGGAACCTTAACTCAGCATTTCCTGACAGGGATGATTAAAATCTCAAACTCAGTGTAATATTAACACTTTCTCAAGAGACTGACAGCACGTTGGCCCTGTTTACTGTACCAGTTCACGGTCTGCGCAGTAAGCTGCGTACGGTACTATCAAGGTTGAAGATCGATACAGACCTACGGCAAATGAAACCAGTGGCAGAGAAGAAATGGCAGAGACTCAGCTCTTCAGCTCACTTTGCCCTATCCAGCTGGTTTTTAACAAAAAAGCAATACAGCTGCTCATTGGTTCGGCTTCCTTTTTGGCATTTCTTACTGGAAGCCCACACAAAGTGACCGGACGTTGCCAGGAAAGCAGGGCACCGGGTCAGCCTGGCCTCTCCTGCTGCTGCACACCTAGAAACATGCAACATGAGAGACCACAGAGACCAGCCATTCACAGACTGAAACCCCAAAAGGCTGCAGGCACAACGGATAACACCCTAAGCACAAACCAGCCAGGCTGCAACCCAAATACTTCTTCAGCTGGCTTTGAACCCGTCCCGTGCCCTCCCTGCCAAAGCCAGTTACTGAGGAAGGAGCCAGAGACATGAGCCCGACGATGTGGACAGATGGTACGCTCTGCATCTTCCTGACTTCCAGAGAAGCTGTGGATGCCCATCCCTGGCTGTCTTCAAGGCCAGGCTGGATGAGGCCTGGAGCAACCTGGGGAAGCAGAAGGTGTCCCTGCCCATGGCAGGGGGGTTGGAACTGGAGGATCTTTAAGGTCCCTTCCAACACAAGCCATTCTATGATTCCTAGAAAACACGATGCAGCAAACTGGGAAAGAAGCAGCTATGCCAAGTCCCTACCTAAACACAGAGTGCCAAGGCAAATTGCCAGCACCGTATGCCACCTCTTCCTGTCACAGCAAAGGCCGCAGCACGCGCTGCATCATGGTTAACTAACTCCGTTCAGCCGGCTCATAACCCCAAAATAAAGCAATGTTTGTGCCTTTGTGCAGGGCTGCAGAAGGGAAAATAAAGCCAGCAGCCCCTCTGCTCGCTGACAGCGTGCACATCAGCAGGTCCTGGGAGGGTCATCGCTCAGCACCTCCCTGCCAAGCGTGCCAGTCGCAGGGCTGGCACCTAACCGCCCGCACAAGGAAGCGAGCGACCACCGAGGACACAAAACATCCCAAATCAATTGCTTGTCACCTGTGAAACAGCCAGCCTCTCCACCGTGAAACACCATCATGTTTGACCTGAGAGGGGCTGGGAGCAGCAGCCTCTGTTTGAAGGGCAGAAGGAGCCTCTTTTGCACAGCTCTGCCCTGGGCACGTCCAGAGCTGTTCGGGTCTACGCTTGCGGTGTTACATCTGCTGCTGAAAGCTGAACACTCTCCTATTCCATCCTGCAAAATTCAATTCTCTGGCCCCTGCCGTAAAGACTGATGGTCCAGGAGCTACCTGCAGAGCCCAGCTGGCTTGGCTCAGCCTTTTCAAGGGCCAAAGCCAGCATGGGGGGGATCAAGGAGGCGATGACACAGGTTAGACTCACTTCCCCACAGTGACACGTAAGCACTGGCACACATCACCCGGGAGAAGAGCCCTTCCCTTCCACCGGGGATGTGGGGCAGAGGTGCTGCCAGGATGCAGATGAGGGTTGCTGCCTGCCCCAGCGCAGGCAGGGTCCTGCCGAGGCCAAACAGTGCCACACAGTGGCCACTCACAGCCTGCTCCGCACCCTTCCAGAGCCACAAACCACCCAACGCAGCGAGGACGAGGGTCAGAAGCTGCAGCATTAAGGAGAGCAGAGCATCCCGAAGAGCTGCTGCCTTCTCCAGCCCGCAGCACCACAGCACAGGAGCTCTGGCAGCGACACAGATCTAAGTTTTCCTTTCTACCTGGTTGTTTTGAACGCGGCTCGCTCCAGCGACGCGGCCGCAGTGCGGCCCCAGAAGCTGTCGTGCCAACGCGAGGAGTTCTGCACCGCAGCGGGCACAACCACCCCAGCTGCCAACACCAGCCACGTCCCAACCTGTGCCCTCAGCTCCCCCTGCCCTTCTGCCATTGGATTTCTGACCGTGCAGCCTCCCCGCAGTCAGAAGGCTCACGCTTTCAACGAGCCAACGTTTCAAACAAAGAAATCGAGACTAATGGTACTAACCAGACGCAGAATCTGCACAGGTTTTGTCAGCAACCTGCACTTCAGAGAGCGCAGCCCACCCCGCGCAGAGCAAGGGCAAGCTCTAGCAGACAGCGCCGCGCTGTGAACGAGACGGCGCTGCCTCGCTGGCCATCACGTGGGAGCACTGCAAAACAGAAACCCCTAGTGCCTCAAAAACACTCACAGCATCTTATGTCAAAGCATCTTCATCAATGATTTATGGAGAGGCTAAAGCTTGGCACGTTCCTTTCGACGATGGTGAGGAAGCAAAGGGCTCCAGAAGGGAAGCTGAGGGAGAAGGAAAACAACCAAGGGCAGTGACGTCTTACAAACGCCGCAGCTTTGTGCCACAGCTCATCCTTCAAAGCTCCACGACTTCACCCCCGTCCCACCCAGCTGAAGTCACAAAGTGGTAACAAAGCGCAGCCGTATCCGAGAAGCTCCGGGCCCCGCTGCATGCAGAGGGCTTCCCAAATTCTGCTCAACTCCCGTCCTTAACAGCCATTTTAGGACAGGCAGCCCAGAGCTCCCTGGCAAGTGCTCTTGCAGGCCGCGTGTGCCAAAGCGGCGTGAGGATTCCTAGAGGATGAGCTC